AATAAAAATATTGTTTAGAGCTGTTGGTTATCCTGGACATTATATTAAAATATTGAATTTACGACAAGAAGAAGTAAGAATTGACATTATCGTAAATGAGAAATAATTCATCTATCTCAATTTCTTTTCTTTCCATTTTATTATCGAAATATTCTAATTGAAAGTATCTTGAAACATATAACCATTTTACTACAGAAGTTTTTTTGTTGAATGAAGTAAGAAGCTTGAAAACAATTTATTTGATAGAGTTCATATGACTCCATTTAGAATCTATCAATTTAATTCATCATGATAATTCGAAGCTTTTGCGCTGACATTTATATTATAAGTAGAATTCAGTGAAACTAGGAAAAACCTAAAATAACATGACCATTTGCCTTGGTTTACCAAAGAATAATAACAGAGTTTCGATGTGAAGTTTTGCTCACATGTAGGTCATATAGTTTTGATAGCGATGTAAATGTTGAAGCCTAAACAAACACTTATTTCTTGAGATATTAAGTATTCAAGAAAACTCTTCTATGCTATCACGTGTGACGAAAACCAACTTTTCTTGCAAATATAATATCTCAAAAACGAAGCATGCATTATGGCTACGATATTTAAGTTGCTATCAGAGTCATAGGATATTTGTACGGGAGAGAAATTTCACATCAAAATTCTGTAATACAACTCTTTGGTAAACCTAGTAGAATGGTTATCTCCCCGGAAAAAAATGCCCATAAGTCCTTATCATTTTGGGTTCTTTCCATTTTCATTGGGTCTTATTTATGCGCAAAAACTTTGAATTACTTGCAATGATTTCCTTGTCAGAAAAATTGTTTTTCGAAGTTCAAATAACCAAGAATAGATAATCGTATATTGTCTACAATGCGACATGACTAAATTTGTAAATGCAAACAAGAGTTAAAAAATATTTTGTTTTTGTTTACAAGAAAAGTATATTTACTAGAATTTTATTGAAATATTTGTTTATTTTTAGTGTGGTCAAGGAGGTTGTCTGATGGAATTAGCAATACAATTGGGAATCATAATGATAGGTAAGAATATGTTTTATTTTTAACAATCTGATAAGTCGTTTTTCTAGGTAAACAAACTGTGTCAAATATTCAAGAAGTAATGTGGCCGTAAGTTCACGAATTCCTATATTGATTTATTTAACAATAGAATATTTATAGAAAAATTCTTGCTTTATATCAACGATGGCAAGTGTCAATACCAAAAACTAAATCTACGACTCAATGGGAAGATGATTTTAAATATAGTGAATTCGGTGGTTTATTTCAAGAATATCTTGAAATGGGTAAAAAGAAATAATTATAATCATTATTTTTATTCTTCGAAATTTAGTTTTACAATTTGGTTTTATCACAATATTTGTTGCTGCTTTTCCACTTGCTCCATTATTTGCATTACTTAATAATTGGATTGAAATTCGACTTGATGCAAAGAAACTTGTTTGTGAAACAAGGTTAGTTTTTTTTTTATCATTTCATCATGAATAAATAGAAATTTTCATTATCAATAGACGTCCAATTGCTTTTCGTTCATCAACAATTGGTATATGGTTTAATATTCTTCAAACTCTTGGTTATTTAGCTATTGTAGCTAATGTATTAACAACTTCCAAAGCATTTTTTTTTTTTTTGAAAAAATAATTTTTTTTCTTCTAGGCTTTTCTAATTGCATTTACTTCAGAATTTTTACCGAAAATTCTTTATCAATATACAGTCAATCGGGATTTAATTGGTTATACAAATTTCACATTAGCTCAAGCACCAGTGAATACTACATCAAAAGAATGCATGTATGTAGGTTTAAGTATTCATTAAACACATTTTGATATCGATTTGTTCTTAGGTATCGCGATTTTCGAAATCCGGATGGTACTTTAACTGTCTTTTTTTGGAAACTACTTGCTCTTCGATTATTTTTTGTAATTTTATTCGAAGTAAATATTCTTTGTTTTTTGTTTTGGATATTATTTATATCTTTTAAATAGCATATTGTTTTTGTTTTATGCCGTTTAACGGATGCTATTATTGATGATATACCTGAATCACTTTCAATTAAAATTCGACGAGAAAAATATTTAGCTAAACGTGCTTTACAAAACTCAAGCAATTTTAGTCAAGTATGATTTTTATAGTTGACTCGATCATTTTTTATTAAACTTAATCTGAATTGAAATAGATCTTCGCAGAACTTGAAAATGAACATACACCACGATCAAAATTGACTCGATTTTTTCGAACTGGTAGATCAAAAACAACAGCTACTACTTTGGTTGACATGCAATGAATAGATGAAATTGTGTATACAAATGACATTGACAATTCTCTTTTTTTTTCGTTATTAGTCTTTTATATTTCAGCTGTAAAAAAATATATATATCTAACTTGAAAATAATCATACTATTGTGAAAGTATCAAATGCGGTTTCTTTTTCTTTTTGCTATTTATAATCGAAACCACTAACATTGATGGTTCATTAAATTGTCATTAGGAAAAAGAAGGTACCTTCGAGTCTATATTAGGCATATTCGTTTCGATACTTTCATAGTATTGTTTAATCGAAATAGCAATGGAAAAACGTATATTGAAACTTGAATTTGACATTGGCACAGCAAGTCGTTCGGCAACAGGTACCAATGATGATGTCAGTAAATCAATGCAACTTGTTCAACGTGAACGTGATCGTGACATAAAAGAAAAAGAAGAATTACGTTATTTAAATGATCGTTTTGCACATTTTCTTGCTAATATTGAACAATTAAAACGGATCAATGAACAATTACAAGCACAATTAAAAGATGAATTTTCTAAATGGGGAATTTTACCACGTGATGAAAATGAATTACAACAAATAATAAATCAAATTAATAATCGAGCAGCTAAACGTGCTAACGATGAAGTACGTTCACGTGCTGCTGAACAAGAATCTGCAATACTTAATCGTGCAGCTGCTTTATATGGAAATATTCACGAAATGTATAAACGTAAACAAGAAAATTTACGTAATCTTATTGATAAATTACAAGAAGAATTTAATCGTATTAGTCAACGTGAACGTGCAAGTGATGAAGAAGTCACAACAACTCGTGATGATTTAATAAACGAATTTAAAAAATTTCATGAACGTCTACAGGATTGGCTTCGTATTGTTGTTGATAAACAAACATTATTAGATGATATACAATCATTACGTGAACGTATTAATTTAATAAATGCATTAAATGAAGAAGAAATTAATGAATGGAAACGTCTTTTAGAACAATCAAAAGATGATTCTATTTCATTTTATAAAGAAGAATTAACAAATGCTATAAGAGATATTAAACGAGATTATTCTAAACAAGCGAAAAAATTTCAAGATGAACTTGAATATCAAATTGAAGGACAATTACGTATGGTTGAAAATCAACTTAAACAACAAGTACCTGGTGCAACCGATGGTTCAATGCCAGAATCCGAAAGAAATCGTTTACAAATCGAAGAAACTAAATTACGTACTAGCATGGAAGTATGCAAAAAAAAAAGATAGTTCCTTTTTTCACCATAGTTTTTATGTTTATTTTTATTGTTTGTAGGAATATGATAAAGAACAAGTTCGTTTGAACGAATTAACAAAATTATTATCAGATAAACGTCGTTTATTACGTGATGAAGAAGCAAAACTACATGAAATTGAAAGAAAAATTCGTGATAAAGAATTTAATCAAAGAACAATTGTTGAAAAACTTAAATATGAATATGATACTTTACGTGAACGTTTTGAACAAATGGCATGTGAATTAAGATTTAGTATTGAAGATGAACTTAAAATTTATGCTCGATTACTTGATGAACTTATGAAAAAATCAGCAACTACTTCAGCATCAACTGTTACAAATCAACATGGTGGAGCAACATCAGCAACAACTTATACGACAACATCATCAACTATTCGATCAAGTGGAATTGAAGATCGTGATGCTCCTTCAACTTATCAACAAATACGTACTGCTAGTTCAAATGTTGGAGCTGGAAATACTAATTTTGATTTAGGTACCACTAGTTGTATATGCCCAGATGCAAAAACAACAAATTTAGATGGAAGTACAAATTGGTTTCAATCAAATGATAATGCTGTATATGATAGAAGTTTAATAACTCGAACTTCATCATATTCACATCTTAATTAAAATATTTCATAGACATAATTGAACTATAAAAATTAATTAATTTAATTAGAATTCTTCTTCATTTTATTTGATTAGATAGAAATTTATTCATTCCATATATTTTTTTTTTGTTTTTCAGTTATGCATATTTTTTAATCAATTTTTATTTTTTGAATAATACTAAGAAAAAAATCAAATTATTTTATATTTTGTTTGCATATCATAGTTTATGCTAATGTCATATATATTTATTCCAATGAAATTATAAATACGAATTAATTGATTTTATTTTTTGAAATAGCTACTTACAAAGAAAATCCACACGTTCAAATCCATACGATCCTAACGAGAGAATGTTTTCAGCTGATCAATCGTTTTTACATTCGAACTCAACGCATAATAACGTAGAGTTCAGATAGGATTTTTACTGAAACTTTAGTCTTGGGCATGGTAAACAGCAACAAATCGAATGATGGTAATTCGACCTAAGATTTTGCCCACAGATAGGTGTATTTATCAATAGAATGTCCTAAAAATCCCAACTAAAAAAAAATATTCCCTTTCCGAGATATTAAAGTTCAATAACAGAAGATTCTAGCATCTTTCGTGAATTCTAGACTTCTACTAGCAAGCCGACATTTTTTGCTATCTTTCTAAAAAAAAGCCATAACCAAAGAGTTAAGTAATGAATGCAGTTTTGTATTAAGAAAAAAAAAGTTCAACTTTTTATGTTTGTTTTTGTTCTAGTGTACTTTTATATAAATGAAGAAACAATAAATCACAGTTGAAGACAAAATATTTATAAATAGTTCATATAAAAGAAGTAAAGTTTTCTATTTTAAAGTTTAACTTGAAATTGTACAGGATTTTTTGTATTATTGGATGGATAGAATAGAGCTTGACGCATAAATGTTGGATCAATAACAATTTTATTTGAATTTGATTTTGAATATTCATTTTCGTTAATTGATTGTGATGATCTAGTATATAAATATTAAATAATAAGAAAATAAAATAAAAATGAATTCTTTTTTCTTTATACCTATTGTCTTTCGATGTTGTTGATTTGGAATATCGTGATGAAGAAGAATTTTTGGATGATTTTGTTGCATAAGAAGATGGTTGTTGAAGACTAACATAAATGAGTTGTCCATCTAATAATCGATTATGATATTTAGCAACTGCTTCTTCAGCATGTTCTGGTTTCGAATAAACAATTTGAACACAACCACGACTTAATGTTATTATTTCATCAATATGACCAACTTCACTAAATAATTCCTAAATTGAATTATATAAATAGATATTTGAAATTAGAAAAGAAAACTTCATACAGTAACATCGTCTTCTGTAACTGATGATTGAAGATTTGTTACTAAAACTGTTGTAGCATCTGAATTTGATTGTATTGATGGCTTTTCTTTTGTCTACATAAAATTATGACGGAATTAATATTATACAATTATTACAGTTATTAGAAATTTACTCGTATGTAATCAGATGCATTTTTCGGCATTCGTTTTAAAGAATTTTTTAATAATGTAGATAGATCTTGTTGTTCTGTGTCTATTGTTGTATTTCGTGAAGAAATACGTTTTATTGGAGATTCATGATGATCATTGTGCTCATCTAAATGTCGCCGATGAGAATTTATTTGAATTGGTGATCGAGATACAGATGATGGATGTATTGTTTGAATAGAAACATCATGTAAACGTCTAATTCTTGGAGGAGGTGAAGGTGAAGGTGAAGTTGAAGTTGGAGATGGTGATTTAGGTCTTTTGCGGGATTGATCTTTTACAAAACTGATGGCGACTTTTTTGTCAGATGAAAATACTTGAGTATTGGAAGTTTGAAACTGATGAGCATCATCTTCACGTTGGAATGATGTGTTTTTGATTGTCTTTCAAAATAAAGAAATCTTACTGATTGTCTGAAAGAAAAAAGAATGAAAATAGGTTTTTACTTTAGTAAAAGAAATTGATTCAGTTGACTTGGGATTCTGAACAGCCAAAAATGTGTTATTCTTCTTTTCAAACGAAAAATTTGAAGTTCGGGAAGTAACCTAGAAAGAATGTTTTTTTTTTCTCAAAACTTATTTATATTTGATCTTACTGGAGCCTTATTCAAAATACTTATAACTTCTAGTTTTTGCTGATCATCATCTTGTTCATCATCTTCTTCTTCAGTTTGTACGATATCTTTTCGTATTATTACAGAAGTATTAGAAGCTCCTGATGATTGTCGACTTAATAATTGTCGAGCATCAAATATTGGTGTAGTTCGATTTGTTAATAATTGTCGTGCATCTGTAATCATGTGATTTGTTGGTGCACTTAGACGTTGATGAATTTGCTTATTATTATTATTATTTTTAGGTGTTGGTTTACTGAGTCTTTCTAATGCACTAATCCGATTGGTAGCATTAATTGCCGTAGTTTTAGACCTAACTTTCATTTCGACGCTCTAATTCAGTGCCAACAAGAACAAAATCTAGAATAAGAATTCAGTTGTAAAAAAACAACAAAAGAAAGAGAACACTGATAATATCTCTTCGAGAATATATTTAGTCATTGAAATAAAAAAAAAGAATGAATCCTATAACCAACATCATAATATGACAATCTTTTGTTTCTTCACATTTATTACTTATAAAATTCAAAATCTTGTTCATTTTTCTTTACGACATTTTTATATGCTTTTTCAAAATCTTTTGCTAATACAATATAACGATTTTCACGTACAGCTTGCATACCAGCCTAGGTAAAAATAAATAAAAGTTATGTATTAATTAAATATACAAATATCACATACTTCTTGACAAATTGAGTTAATATCGGCACCTGATATATGATCAGGACGTGCAACATAATCTTCTAAATCAACTTCATCACTTAAATTCATTTTACTAGTTACAGTTGAAAAAACTAAACGTTTTTGTCGTCGATCAGGTACAGGAAATTCAATTTTACGATCTAAACGACCAGGACGAAGAAGAGCTGGATCAAGTGTATCAGCACGATTTGTTGCCATTATAACCTGAAACAAAATAAGGAAATTTCGTTGTCTTCATTTAAACGAGTCTTCCACTTTCCGTATGTTAAAATTAAAACTTTTTCGAATTTTTTAGTATGGTTTCAAAGTGTCTGCTGTCAAATGTTATATAAATGATGGCTATTCGTTATTAGATAGTACTTCTATTAAACCCAACTTTCGAAATCTCTAGCAGAGAAACTTACGCTGCAATAATTTCTTTTGTATACAAAATTTACCTAACGATAATGATTATTTTTCATTCAAGTGCCGAGAGCATGCGTCATGGATCTCTAACACTGCTGAAACTTTTTCTACAAGTACTGGACACTATTTTATACTTTATTTGAAGGTACTATCAATATTTTGATCTTTTTATTAGAATGAAAAAAGATAAAAAGAAACTAAAAAGCTTAGCAACCAAAAGAGTGTCCAGTATCTGTAAAAAGATTCCCACTTTCTCGAATGTAGTACAGCTGAGAAAGCAGAGCGATTTTTAGTCTTTGCAACCCACATATTTCCAAGAAGGAAGTATGTGGAGTTTATGATTATTTTTGCTCTACCTATTGATACCTATCTATCTTGGAAGTTTCAAATATATCTGATGAGCTATTCCTCAGAATGACCCGAAAAAGTGATGAAGTCATTTTAAGAATAATTTACTTTAACATTAATGCTTTGATCGAAACCATCCATTTGATTGAGTAATTCAAGTAGAATACGTTGTACTTCACGATCAGCTACAAAAAAATAAGATGAATTATGAAATAATATAACTTAAAATCTGACCTCCTGTTTGAGCATCGAAACGTTTTGTAGCAATTGCATCAATTTCATCGATAAAAATAATAGCAGGAGAATTTTCTAATAAGATATTGATAGATATTAAAAGATATATTGAATAGTTTCATACCCTTAGCAAGACGAAACACATCTCGAACCATTCGAGGACCTTCGCCAAGATATTTTTGAACAAATTCTGAACCAACTACACGAATAAATGAAGCTGAAAAAAAGAACAGCAATCAATATAAAATGAATAGAAATAAAAATAAAATCTTCTAACCAGTCGTATGTCGAGCAACAGCTTTAGCCAACATTGTCTTTCCACAACCTATGAGAATAAAAAATTTAAGGAAAGAACATATTTAAATAAATTACTAACCCGGAGGGCCATACATAAGTACACCACGTGGTGGATCAATACCAATTAATTTATATAATTCTATAAAAACAAAAAGACGAAATAAAAAATATTGTCTAAGTCAAAAAAAAAAATGACCGAAATGTGTCAATGGCAACTCAACAGCTTCACGAATCTCTTGCTTTTGCAGATCTAATCCACCAATATCCGCATAATCAACATCCGGTTTTTCATCTAGAAATAATTAATACAAACATGTCAAAAAAATAACAAATTATTTGATAATACCAGCTTGTAACATGGAAATGCTACTGTCTGATTCTGGTGGAAGAATATCAACAAGTGCATTTGAATGTTTATGTAAAGCAACACTAGCACCAGTTTTTAAAAGTTCTCGATCAATTGTTGATAAAATTCGTACATAATAATTTGAACCTGAAAATAAACAATAGATATTTTTTATGTAGAATGTCATGTCAAGGATGAAAAAAAAAAGTGTACTTCTAGAGAGATCGAGAAAATGTTAAAAGCATGAAATTCTTACGATTAATGAATAATAAAAATCTTAAATTTATTTTTTAATTCATTGCAATCATTCGAACAATGATGCTTTAAAACTAATCTCTTCTCAAATTGAAGCAACAAATTTACGAAGTGATAAATCGCTTTTGAGGTAGGCCTTACATGATTAGGTAGGTCCTATTGAGACTCATGAAAGTCTGAATGGATTATTACTCATGGATTTTTCTTCTTTAGTTATTGATAAAGTCACTAAAATGGTCATAGCTCAAGACGAAAGATTCATGAGTACGAATTCTTTCCAGACTTTCTCTCATATTAATAGAGCCGATCTAAACATGTAACAATCACTTCAAAAGTGATTCATCAACTGACAAGATTCTCTCGTAAGTTCGATACATGATGTATGCTTTCATTCTTTTAATTTACTATCAGACGAACCGAAAATAAAGTAATATTTGGTCTAGAAATTTGTTTAAACAAAAAAAAAAGATTGTTCATTACCTGTAGTCGATCCAACAATACCGGTATTTTGATCAACAGCTTCAAGAAATTGTCCAATAACAAGTGGTACACTTTGAATACGTTTTATTTCCTCTTGTGCATGTAACATTTCTTTTTTTAAATTTTTTAATTCTGTTTTAACATATTCTTCTTGAACTTCTAAGAATTCAAGTTGTCGTTGAAGTTTCTAAATAAAAACGAAACAACTGTTTTTTCTACAAAAGTCGAGACTTCATTTATAATTAAATCAAACTTTATATTTTGTATATAAATCATCAGTATCAAGTGATTCATATTGTGATGAAAGAATATAATTTTGTTGAACAATTCGACCTAGATCTTCCTTTTAAATTGAATAAAAATAAATAAATAATACATTTTTTTCTTAACCAATTCGCAAACCTCTTTAAGAATAGTAACTGGCATATCTTCTACTACTGCAGTCATATTTCAATTATTAAAAAATATCTAAAATAATTTATAACAAAAGCAAAACAATCATATATCATTCGCTTTTCTTTTTTAAAATAAATATCAAACAAAAGAAATAAACACCGAACTACTTATATAGAACACAAACGAAAATACTAATTTGAAATTAAAGGTAAACGTAATTGCTGTGGTGGTATCGAAGAATAGAAAAGAAGATAAGCATGAACATTATGTGCAAGTTCGCGTACATCAGCTGAACGAATTGAATGATCATCACAATAATACCATTGTTTACTATCATTACAATAAGATGTATAATGACCACTATTCATTGAACCAAAATGATTTACAACAGATACAAGGGAATATTTTGATGGTGATGGCGTTTGAGACCAACGGGAAAAATCAACATTTGATATTGGATATCGAATTAAAGTTTCATTTTTTATATAATGTGTTTGTTGAAGACGAAAACTAGAAACAAAAAATTATTGATCAACAGTCGAGAATGTAATTTCTATTAGAAATGGAACATGAGACTGATTCAAATAAAATTCATTAAAAAGAAATTAGTACTGACCGAACAATATTCATAGATATAGATATCTCTCTCAATCTCAGTTTCCAATGAGAGATTATCAAAATCTTATTTCTCCTTATGCAACTCATATCTGTTAACTGAACTCAATATTGTTTTGTTTAATTGAATAGAATTTGTGAAAACACATAGAATAAGAATTCATATCTCGAATGCATATGTAGATAAGCAAGCAATATAATTATTGTAATGCGATACGGTAATATGTAAGAGTAACAATGATTGATAAAAAATGATTTCGTTAACATTTAAGTATGCAAATATTGGAAAATATTGGTTTAGAATCAGAATTTTGTGTTCTTTCAAATTATGACTTCGAAGTTCTTGTAGGACTTTTGATTTTATAGCTACGAACCAACCTTTTCGAGTCTCATAAGTTATTGAGTTTGAACGAACTTCACCGCGCTGAAACTCACTCAAAGTGAAAATGAAAATTATATCGAATACAGCGAACGAAAAAGCTAATATTTCTCTATCAAATGGTATACTAATGAGTTGGCTGCGAGTCATTTGTCAACAGTCAGAATTTCAGTAAAGGATACTGTCAATACAGGCGAATTTCTATGGAAAATAGACTTGCAAAGTGAGCTCTGTCATTTCTGAATGATTGCTTTAAAATTTAAAAAACGTCAATTTCCTTTATCCAAATTTGATTTTCGCACCTTGAAAAAGGTCCAGTAATAACTGCTAAATGAGAAATCCTAGACATGAGTTAAACCTATATTTAGAAACAATACAAGATTTTGATTCAAACCCAATATTTTCAAATTTCTGTAAGCTTCTTCAAACGGCTAAAAAATGAATGTAGATTTTGTTAAATTATTTTTCGATCACCTGTTATCTCGAAAATCATCTAATTTTACGAGTAGGCATCCAGCTAAATCAAATAAAAGAAATCAACAAAGATCGTTGTTACAAAAACTATTCTCGAACATAAATCTTTCTTTTACTTCCTTTTCAAGTGAAATCAGTTAGCTGATATAGCTGCTGTCTCACAAGAGACAGTCCCCAACTAATTCAACCAAAATTCCCAATGGTATTTTGTCCATATACCGGAAGCATTATTCTAGGAAAAGTTCCAAGAGGATTTGGGCTGATGAGTCTTTTTTCGAAAATTATGGTCATTCAACTGGTTTTTTAGTCTAGTGCAAGGTATTTATGGAAAAGTTCAAAAAAGCAGAATTTCATTTTTGAAATTTTCGCCATGTATAGTTAATTCAATCTGTCTGCACTTTATATATTATGTGACAGTCTTCGGAAAGCTATATTTCGAGAAGGAAGCATTTTTCTACAATGAAACTATTCAACTGTTCTAGTGACCATGAGCACAACATACGAGCGAAATTTCACACTGAAATTCTACTTTTCAACATTTCCGTAAATACTTTGTGCTAGGTCGAAAAATCAGTATAATGGACATAAATTTTGGAAATTTACCAGATTGTCTTTTCATCACGACACAAACTAAAAGAACGCTTGAATTTTTACCTTTCTCTCGTTTGTTATAGGTAAAAAGAACTCATATAAAATGCTTAAAACTTTGTTCTAAGAAGAAAAGCTTTGTTAGAATCGTTCAATATTAGTTATTATTACCGTTTAAAATGCACAATAAATATTTTTGGTAATTCCCAAATATCTAAACGCCGTTTTTTTGCTGATAAACGTTTACAATTTGAACATTCATAACGTTCTTCTCCTGTTAAATGTTCAAATTCCCGAAATAAATCTAAACAATCATCTAATGAACATTGTCGAACAGGTGGAATAGGTACACTTATTATTGCAAAGGCATCAAAACGAATAGAATTATATGAACATGACAAACATATTGTGGTCGATTTAAATAAACCATAGAAAAGATCAATTATTATTGATCTATTATGTGAAAGAAATGCTTGTTTGCTTGCTTCAGCTAATTGTCGATCATTTTTATAATTTTCTGATTTGAGTTCTTCAACACGCGGACGAGTAGCCTATGAAAATAATATAAAAAAATCTTTTTTTATTTATTCTTATTCATTTTGTTTTTGTTCCCATACTTGATTAAGATCTTCATGTAATGAATCAAGTAAAAATACAAGAAATTCATGTGCATCTTGTTGTTGTGTACCTAAATAAGCATTTTGAAGTGTTCCAACAACATATTTGAATGGTTGTGGTGCAATATATGAATATTGTTGACACCATAACAAATAAATTAATTTAAACCATTCTTTAACAACTAATCCACCTGAACCAAATTTATTTTTTGTATTTATATCTTTAATAAAATCACCTTTTAAAAAATAATTTGTTAATATAAAATTAAAACTTAAAGATTGAATTATTGAATTCATATAACATGAATTTCCTAGATTTTTTAAACCAGTACGACGATTTATTTGTAAATTATCAGCAATTGCACGATAATCATATGCTATTTGCTGACGTGTTTGTTCGGTTAATAGTGGTTTAGTGTCACGATTGATTGTTGGTATTATCTGATTAGAAGTTTTATTTGTTTCATTTTCTGGAATATCTGTTACGTATCGATTATTTTTTGTATCGAGAATTATTTTACTAAGCAAAACACAAAAGAAAATTAAAAAAATGAATATTTGAATGAAAATTTTAACATACCGACCGGTAACAGCATCAAATTTTTTTCTATATTGTTCATTTGTATTATTAATTGGTACAGTTCGATTGAATGGACGATAGATAGGAAGTGTTTCACGAGTTGGCATAGGAATTTTTGAAGTATCTTTTGGTGGAATATTTTCTCTATTTGAAACATTTTTATTTTCATTTGTATCGATTGGTTTTGGCGGTTTTGGGATTTCAGGAGTGATATTAGTATTCGGAATTATTGGTGTCACTGATGAAGGACGTAATGCAATATCTGGTATTATTGGAGTAATGGGCAATTCTTCACTTATTGATGAAGAAGGTCTAAAATAAGAAATCAATATAAGTCGATGAAAATAAAAACAAAACAAAAGTCGTATCGATTAAAGTTAAATAAACTCTATAGAGAGATTTTTTTAAGAGGATAATCTTGCCTAATTTCGAGGTTTCAGAATTTCGCCAATTTCACTGTGAATTAAGATGTGGATTACAAAAATTCCTATCTACTAAATCGATAGATTATGTTCGTCTATGTCATAGCCGTACATTTTATATTTCGTTTCGGATAATAATCGTTCTACTAATGCCTGTCACAACTCTCACTGTTGCATAATAATCTCAGATCACGGAAGGAATCACATTAACAGTGAATCCAGGATGTGGCTGTAGCTATAAGTCAGTTTTTTGACGCACACCTAAAACAAGATCATTAGTTGATACAACCAAGTCTCTTGTTCATCTTGTTGACGAACCTATTTGTTGCGGAAGAAAAGCAAGAATGATGTTTCAAAATCAGATTTATCAGGCTCATCCTCAGATGAACATTAGGTTATGCTTTATTTGTCATTTTTTTTTTCATATTAACCTCGCTTTTTTATTAAAAACCTGACTCGTTCATATTCAAACACACTGAGTGTATGCTATGATATATATATATATTCTAACAATATTAGCTTCAGCTCTCACATGATTCGTGACAGCTTGCAAAAGTCCACCCTACATTTGCCAACATATTTCCTGAAGTTTCGCCATTGGCGACTGTCCTATTGACGAAAGTCTTATTGGTGAAATCCTGACCACTCCTAGTTTCTTATTAATACGTTCTCTAATATCATTTTTCACCTCGAAATATAACTGAATTAAGAAAATTTTTAAAAGAAGCATCGAAAACTTTCAAATCGTTATCGCCGAGTAATGCATCTGCTTACATCTCTAGATAGCATAGATGAATAAAAATCAAGTCAAATCATACATAAATATCCTCAATAATATGGGCATTTTTTTCTCATTTACATATTGCTAGTGAGGATCTACTTTCGAAAAGGTAATCTTAAAATATTATTTTTAGAACTAACTCTGATGGTGGTGGTACTGGTTTCATTGATCGATCTGGAATTTCAGGTTGTTCTTTTGTTACTACTACTGGCGGTGTTGGTGTTGGTGTGGGTGTTGGTTGTTCTTCTTCAATCTATAACAAGAAAAAAAATAATAATTCATCAAAATTAATGATGAAACATCTAATTCTTACTGGTTTAGTTGACAATTCTTGTTGTTCGATAACAGTTGATTCAGGTTTTTGGTTATTAATCGGTTTTCGTGTTCGATCAATTTGTGGAACAATTGCTGGCGGAATAATTGCTGCTTCGGGTTGAGCAGCAGTTGCTGCATCGCTTGGTACTTCTTCAGGTATATACACATCATCCGGATAGGAAACCTCTTGAATACAAAAACTATGAGTAATAATTAATAAAATCAGTTCTCTAACCAAATGATCGAAGTTCTCCAATATTTTTTTTCGAAATTAAGGGTGCTGTACTCTCGCCTGGATAATATGTCATCCAATCTTCGTAACCACCATCAAGAATTAATGGTTCATGTTTAAGTTTAACGTCTTGATCAAACTATAAGAATATTTAATTAATGAAATTCAAGAAAATAAAAATATCATTTACTGAAAATATAGCTTGTTTTAAACCCATTAAACAATGTCCAGATTTTAAATTATTTTCATAAGTATCATCATCAAATAAAATAATATAATCAAAATTTGCACGTTGTTTAAATTTTGTTGCAGCATTCGAATCTGTTAATGCTGATTCTATACCCCATGATGTCCATCTAAATTTAATTGAATGTATTAAAAAATTTAAATTATGGATTATTTTATTTTTTGTCATACCCTTTTCCATTCATAAGATCAGCTGGAATATGAATACAAGCAGATGTTTTCATATGTGATTGATCATAATCAACTTTTGAACGCATATCAATTAATAAAATATTCTTTTTACGTTCATTTAAATATTTATAGAGTAATTTAGGCCCAATTGATTTTTCAACTATGAAAAATATTAAAACACAAAACAACTCAAAGTTAATATATATATATATGAAAAGTTTTTACGAGAATTTTCTTCTTCAATAACTGCTTGCTTTTTTCTTTCTTCTTCAAGTTTTGCTTCATTTTTTGCATCATATCTATAACAAAAATATCAATATTCTATTTCAAATTGAAAAAAACCTGCTAACAGAATTCCTTCGAAATTTTTCCGTTGTCGTAAGGACTAGAAAAAAATGTGATTGGAATAAAGAAAATTGTTTTCAAAAAGAATATAAGAAAATAAAACTTATCAGATTTTCAAAAGAGAGGAACTTCAGACAACCACAAACCTAGTTTTTCAGCACCTAGAACGAAGTAAATATAATTTTGTTTAAACTATATAGAACGATAGAGCAAACAATTCTTTAGAAAATGAGACTCTTCGAGTTTTCTATGACGTTTTATAGATGATATACAGTCATCCTACGGAAGACACTGAAGTCATTTTTTCCGATGTTCTGTAGAAAAACTATTGCTTTTTGACTTTCAATCAAATGGCCACATCCAAGCAAAAAAAAATGTCGTAAACAACTCGGCAATGTCCCATTTTGTAGAAAACTATTTATTCTATCATTCTATTCACTCTAGAAAAAATTATATTGGCGTACTCTAAGTGCTGAAAAACTAGAGTTTTGGTTTTCTGGAATTCATATCTTTGCAAGTATTCTTGTTGGACGATATTTCCTCTATTTAAGTCACTATTTAGATTCTTCCTAACACTTATGACAGCGAAAAATGTTGAAAATAAACTTTGTTGAATAATTTCGATACGCACTGTGTATGTTAATCATAAAATGTTACTGTGAGCATGAAACAAGGACAGAATATGTATATTATATTCAATCGTATTTTAGACTACCCCTGCAGTAAACATCATTTTCGCGAGTAACTGTATCCCAGCGTATGAGTAGAGAATGGTAATACTAAAGTGTTTGTCACGAACGAGCTTCGTGCAAGCGACCCAAGATCAGACGGGTGTAATAGCGATGTAACGAACGAGGACTGAGCCTTTCCCCGATCAAAGCCACAAGATTCTGCGTCAACAGTCTCCCCACTGTCAAAATCCTGGCTACACCAATAGGGTGTAATAATGATTTGTTTTCAATTATTAGAGGAGTGTAAACTCCCTGCAACCCCACTTTTGCAAGATACGGTCATAGTCTATAATAGAGCGGAGATGTTGCTCATGTGTCTCTCATGATCTGAGTGAAAGAGCTAATTTTCTACACTTATACTTTAGCATTTCTTTTAGATCATGTTTCAAAAAAACATCTTTGTTTACCTTGCTTTTAGACTTGCTGATAATTGATCTGCTTTCTCCAACCAAATCAAAGCACCTTTTTGATAATATTGTACACTACTCTATTTATTAAAAAATTCAGTTTTATTATATTTTTTTAAAATTCCTCAATTCTATTTACTTGATTATGAGCAACATCTTTTGCTTGTTTCAAAGCAGTAAAACAAGCAAATAATCTCATATAAATAATATAAGCACGTTCTTCATCGTTATTCAATTCTGCTTTTTTTGCTTCAGCCCATGTTGTTTCAATGACATGAGTTATTTGTGCACAACTTGATAATTTAGCTTTTTGAATAGATGGATTATCATCAGCACGTTTATTTAATTCTTCAAGATTATTTGCTAAATATAATTCAACTTTATTTATTGTTGCCATTGAATATACATCAAAGAAAAAAAAAGAAAAGAAAATCTAAAACAAAAACAAAACGGTTTATTTTTATTTTATTCTTTTATGAATCCATTTTATCAGAATCTTCCATAGTCATATCAGCTAACATCTCATTTAGATCTATATGAGGTATATCATCTTCTATTGCATCATCCTTGTTATTCGATGGTTCTTGCAATTTTTTCTCGTCTAAAGAAATGAAAAAAAATCTTTTCTTTTAAAAAAATATAATGCTTTTTTACCCCTGTAAACATTGATATTTTGTCTTAAAACAGGATCTTCTTCAAGATCTTCGAGAAATTCGGTGTAATCTCTGAAAATAAAGAAATCAAATAAGATCAATTTTTTAAAAAATTAACAAACCGTTCAATGGTACTATTGACACTTCCTGCATCTTCAACATCTAAATGTTTTAATTTCCATTGACGTCGTCGATTACGAATACTCTTATCAGCATAAACCTTCTTGACAAGAATCTATACATACGATTTTTTTATAAAACGAAATAGAAAAACAAAAAGATAATAATAGACAAACTAACCACATCAGCTAGTTGATCAATATCATATTGATCCAAACTTGAATCGCTAACATTAGTGTTTTGTAAATCGAACCTAATTTTATCAAAAACAAAAAAGTGAAATTTAAAAAAAAATGTTCATTATAATATTCTTTTCATACCCCATAACTGTATCGCCCGGATGTAAAATATGACCAAGATGACTAATTGTTGAATATTGTTTATCAACTGTACCAATTTCAGATGCTTTGATTACGAATACTTCAGCAAGAGCATGCTAAAAAAATGGAAAATTTGAAAAAGTTTTCTCATGTCAATGAAAAATTTAAATTTCAAAACCTTATGTGATTCTTTTCCATAAACATAAGGCTTCGCATTAGCATCAAGAATGTTAACATCACAAACAATGTATTCAACAAGATGCTTTGAATCGCATATAGCAGTAAATGGTGATCGCCAATAATCATTTGATGAAATCGGTACAACTAGAATTAAATCATCAAATTAAAACGAATTATCTTGTCTTATTCTTACCTTTAAGTGTTTTTGGATCAATTAAATAAATATTCTGTGTAACACGTGAACAAATACATAATGGACCAATATTACCTAATTGTTTCGATTGTTTTTTTGATAAACAAACAATATCATCCTAATATAGATATATACATATACATGAAATGTCTTTGTTTTCTGGCTTAAATCTATTTGTTCTCTTACTTTGCAAACAGGTGCAATTTCAACAGCTGTTGTATATTTATAATTGTAAATATTACTGTGTATATCATGGGAAATAAGACGTTTTGATGTTTCATATCTAAAATTAAAATTTAATAACAAAAAAATAATAAATAAATCAATGTAAGAAAAACAGAATTAACCTGCATGGTACAACACACATAAGAAAATCAACTAATTTTCTTGAACTGTTTTGTTCCGAAAAATAAAAATCTAAACCACCATGAACTTGTTTTATATTTGATGCATCTGCATGAGCATTATGTTTAAGTAAAAGTTGTTCAAGATAGAAGAATGTTTTTTTATGTGAAGTCTAAATGGTATTCTTTTTCTTTTTATTTAAATAAAAACAAAAGAATAAATAAACTAACTTTTTGTCGAACTTGAACAAGTGCTTTCCAATAATCTTTAGCTTCAACTCGTTGACAATCATCACATATTTGATTAAATATTGTAAATTCAACAATAAATGTTTGTTGAAGTATAGCACCTTGAGCAATTTCTTTTTGAACAGTTAATTTAACCTTGATTCGTTTTGAATGAGGTTCAGTCCAAATAAAACCAGCATCAATTAATCTTACCTAAATATTTAATTAATTCATAGAAATTTTTAAAACTATTTTACTTACTTCTTTATTTAATCCTTTAATACGTTTTAAACATACGGTTAATAATTCTCGAGATTCTAGTTGTGCACTAATCCATGTATTCGGAGGTTGAAGATAACTATTTACAAATGAAAAATGTAATTACGAAAGAACATAATTAAAATATAAATATACCGAATACATTTGTTGCACATTTGTAATTGACCTTGTTTCGGAATTTGTTCTGTTATATCGATTTGAGCTTGCATGCATCCATTACACATATTAAGTGCATTTGGTTCAATTAAGACACCACATTGACAACATAAACTAAATGAAATCAAGACTAAGTACTAAAAATCAACATAATAAATTAAATCACATACATTTTGCCTGCGGTCGTGGTTGGTTCAATACTATCAGTTATATATTCCATGATGTGTATATGTTAGATGATAGAAGTGTTTAATCTAAAAAGATTTCATTTATTAAAAAAGTAATAATGAAATAACTGAGTCAAAAATGAATACTCTAGAATAAATGATGACGGTGCTGAAAGATAGATTAATTATTGGATCACTAGAAATCCAATCTTTAGCAATAATCGATTTGATTCGTCGTTTTAGAGAGAGGAAATTCATTGAAATTCTATTGGTGAATTACGATTGAAGAGCTACAATCGACACTTATGTGCTATAGACAGTAACACGTCTTGACGTAAAGAAAATTGCGTTAGCACTCTCTTTCATTTCTCGTATCAACACATGAACTATTGGTCGCTACAGTGGACTAAATGTTTGTGTTTATTTACTCTGTTTGTTTTATTTACTACTGGTATACTGTCAGAGGGATTGAAAGACGTTTCTTTCTTCGAATTAATAGCAGATGCACTTCGCATCAGTGACATCTATATCTATTTGGGGCCTATGAAGAAATTCAAAAGATTTTCATGTAATATACACTATAACTGAAAAAGGAACGTTTTAACAACATAGTTCTTAGGGGCAACTCTCATTTTTATTGATAAAGCATCAAGAAAGAGGCTGTTTCTGCAGAGATGAACATATTAATTAATGGCTATTCAAGAATAGCCACCACTACTATGACGACAAGTGAAGAGGGCGGTACAAGCAAAACGTGTTCGGTCTAAAAATCAAGTTTAGAGAAATCATCCTCTAATCGGAAATGTTTCAGTCGATTATAAATAAAGTTTAGAATTTTTTGACACCTATACTGTCAGGGTGGGTGTGGGTGTGGGGTGTGGGTGGGTGTGGGTGTGGAGTGTGGGTGTGGGTGTGGTTGGGTGTGGGGCGTGGGTATACATCTTTCCTTTACTCACACCTTAACTCATATCATAACGATTAGGGAACCGTCCATTTTACGCTTACCATGTGGAGCATCTGTCAGATGTTCAAATATTCAATTAAGATCATCAGAATGTACAAACGACACGCTAACGATCACATCTAAACTTCATGGAACTTTTAAAAAAATGTTAAATTTTCAATACTCAATAAAAGCATTGACAAGTCGCTTAGAAGCTGAATACAAAGCAAGAGCTATAGATTCTCTTAAACAACTACAATTCGATCTTTACGACAGCACTCCACTAATAACGAAAATATTGCAAATGCTCGGCAATTTATTCATATATTTTGTGTTGCTGCTTGTATCTAGTATTATCTTAGTTATATTGAGATTCGTAAATATTAAAATGCAAAAGAGAATGAACACGGTTGAAAAAGAAATGAACAAATTTGTAGATGTATTTTCCTTAGATATTAGCACTGCATGATATAGTGTAAAATATTTGGACATTGTTTTATTGTAAAATTTGTTTTTTTTTGTATTTTTTTTTCTGTACAGTTGCATTGATAATAGATACAAAGATCATCATCTGTAAAGTAGTGAATATCTTGATTCAACACATTCGAGGTATATCACGAATAGTGACCCTTCAGTTGTGTATGTTTTTTTTCATCTTGCCTTCTTTTCGTCTACTTTTTTATTTATGCAGGGAATAAGACAGTATTTCGGGGGAAGGTGGTGGTTTTTGCCCGGTGACCCCCCCCCCCCCCCC